ACCCTGAGCCGGTGAGATTTGAACCGCTGACCTGCTGATCTAGCAGTAGCCTGCAGTGCTGCATTTAACCACTGCGCCACCTTGGCTCTTATTTGTATCCATCATCCATCAGACTCAACATCCTAGATTTATACTATTTAATTTGTTTTCCGATTCCAGCAATTGGCTTCAATCCAGCCCCTTCAAATCAATGGTTGCTTTAGTCACATGATTTGTCATGCGATTCTATTGTGAAATTTGAAAAGTACATCCTCAATTCTATATTATAACTACCATATGGTCTTAAAAATAAAGATATGTTAAACAAATTTTATGATTGAAAAATTAGTCTTTCTGATGTTGCAAAAAAAATTTCATATACACATTGGCTTAAGAACGTTTTTTCCAGTTTTCACTATAATCTTTGTCATGGATGCCAAAAAAGTTAAACAGGGTCCTTCATTCCAATTTTCCAGGTCTGCCTTTGTCTATTTAGACATCTGGTAGCTCTATGCCTGTAGGCCCTACACTGGCTGCCTAAGTAGCCCCTTTACCAAGCAGTTGTCCAAGAACTTTTGTATTCAAAAGCAAAACCAAGGAATTAAATCTAGTCTCACAAATGTAATAGCAGAATATGATAGAATCTGTAAATAAATAGCAGTACGAAATTTCAAAAGGTCAATGGTAAGTACACTAGGAAAAAAACACAGTCACAAATCATAGATTACATTGGCCACTCATTCATTGGCCCAATAGATGAAATATCAGTTCCTGGGTGCTTTATGTTCATCCTAGGATCAAGCACTTTATATTTGGAGGACACCATGGAAAAGATCCATCTCCTGTCAAGCTGCATTGTATGTCAACTATTGGCAATATGAAACAAGCCTCTCCAGCCTGCAGATGGAAGGCAGCACATATGGAGATCTTATTTCATGGATACTGGCTCCAAATTGTGTAGAACCTTTTACATCAAGACCAGCACCTTGAATTCAGCCCAGGAACATAAAGGCAAGCAAGCCAACTATTTCAAAATGAGGATTATATGTGTGGTAAATATGCAGTATATATCAGTTAATGGGGAATTCTTGTCATATGCACAAAAAGGGAATGTGACTGGTTTCTCATTCTAGAATGTTGTCTTAGTACTTAAGCTACCCTATTATTCCCTGTCTATAACTTCCATGTCTATAACAGACCTAACTGGTCTGTTGCTGCTCACTCATCATTAAAATGCTTAGTTTAACCCTTCACTCACATGCCTATCTTACTTCATTGTCACAAATAATTTTTAGACATAGTTTATGTATCTTTACTTTTTAAAAGTATTGCTGCACAATAACAATACAATCCTGGCAATTACTTGCACAAGCATGTGCACAGATCCACTATATACTATTTTTTTTCCAATCTTCAGTTAAAGAATATTGAAAGATTGAAATATAGTGATTAGCACAAATACATGGCTCACATCATCTATAAAATGAGCCACTGTGTTGGAAGTAAGGGAAAACCACTTCCAAAATGTTGCCAAGAAAACCTCAGGGATTTATCAAGGCAGTCAACAAAAGTCAACACTGACTCAAAGGCACAAAAAAAACAACTTTTACTAAAATATGATTGAAATATCTTAATATAAGTTAAAGTTTATCTTGCAGCTGAAGAACTAGCTAATTCTGAATTATAACAGTTGTTCTTTTTCACTCAAATATTTTAAATAATCATAATTTTTAAAAGGGGGTTTAAAAATATAATTATTACTATTATCACCATTATTAACCACTATTCTAAAGGACCAAAAATGACTTTATTTTCTCCTAAAGGGTAGAATCAAGGGTCAGAAGGAGCACAGAAAAAAATATTTCATTTCCACACTGTGAAAGGCTTTCAAGATAAAGACTTTGAGAAGAGAATGGAAATATTTCTTGTATGCTTTGTTACAATATAACAAATATGCAAAAATATAAACTCAGTGACTCTAGTCATTGTTTATTTTTAAAAAGAACATCTACTGAAGTAAAACTAATTTAACCAGCAGAGAAAATACATGTAGCCATTAGCTACTCAGATTACACAATAGAAAGTTTATATTCTCTATATAACTCTGTGGAAAATAATAATAATAATTACTAAAGTTGTGAGGAGCTAAATCTCTAGTGATAATAGCAAATTGAACAGTCCGATAGGACCATAATAAAGCTTTAGATAAAATTGTGCTATTCTGAACACTAATGCATAATTAGGATAACAAAGTATGCATTGGGAAGTTTACTTTACCTGGGCCTGAATTTCAGGTATCCAAAAACTACTTCCATTATGGGATAAAAGAGTATCTGGAGATGTATTTGGGGAAATCGTTAAAAATACCTCACAAATACCAAATTCTATCCTAACATTTTCTCACCATACGCTAATTTTGATCAAGAACTGAAAACAAAATTGCCTAACGATGCCACATTGCTTTCCTCTTTTTGATGTAGTTCTTGTGTTCCACTTGGATCACGATTCCTATCATTTCATACCCAAAAGTAGATCATTAGAAATTACATACAATAATAAATATGTACAAAGCATCTTTCCTTTCCTTTAGTTCTCTCCAGAAATATAACTAAGAGGCATGAGATGAAAAATAGAGAACTATTGCAAAGAGATACCCTTCGGGAAAATATTCAACAGATATACAATAAGCATAAGAAGAATACCTGTGATGAAGGAATATGCTGATAGGATATTGCTGAACAAGGAAATCTCTGTGCTGGTACCTGCAGGCTTCATACTTCTTTTATGTTCTCCTCTGAACTTCATTCACTGGAGTAGCAAGATCTGGGATTAAAAAGTAGGCTTCTATTTCTTCTCCCCTGTTTTGGAACACAAGTAGGTTTGGGATGAAGTACATTTGATTGTGGGGTCCATCATTCAAGCAACAGAACTTTTCTCCTGCCTTTGAAAACCGTCGCAAAGCCTTCCAACCCTTTCTATGAAGTTCACTGGTTTGACAGTCTGACTTCAGCTGACCTCTCAGAATGCATTTGAAACAATTTCTCCCCTGATCGCTTCTACTTTCCCGTCACTAGTCAGACTCCTCCAGCGGATTGAAAGAAATATACAATCAGAGGCATTTCCCCCCCTTTCCTGCCCATTTTTAACTCAAAAGTGCGTGTTGGGGAGCTCTAGAAAAATCAACAGGCAGCCTTCTGGATGGGTCTGGCTGTAATTCTATAGCTTGTGACAAACCCATGACAAACAGTATGCCTTGCCCTCCAGCTTTATTAAATTGAGGGAGGATTTAACTCCCTTTATGACTTCCTAGAGAGTCTGCTTTCTTCATGCTCCCCTTATAACAAAGAAAACGGCTGCAATAGACCCGAGTTAATGATTGGATTTTATCTGCTGAAGTTTTGTAGCTTAATAGGCAGCTCATTTTTTCAGCTTGAAAGAGACCTTTTCCGACCTTACTGAATCATTACTGAGAATTCACTGAACCTTGATCCGTTTGTTAACTCCTTTGCCAGTAGTGAAAACATCAATAGTTTTAAAACAATAAACAATCTGAATGATCGGTGTCCCTAACAACGGTGTACTTCAAAACAAAGTCTTCCATTTATATCAACTTGTTTGGGCCTCAAGGAAGAGAAAAGGCCTGCTGTGTAAAAAATTCTGTTTACCCAATGGGTGGGAAAATATATATTTTATGTATGTGTGTACTTTTTATTTATTTGGTCATACCCCCAAAATAGAAAGGTACATCAAGAGTAGTGTAAGCAAACACATGTTAACCCTGAAGGTCTGGATGAAGAGACATATTAGGGATATCAGAAGCACACCACAGTCAGATGTATTATGGAAAGAATATTCCAAAGAATGGTGGCATACTTCACTATAACCACAATCTGTTATAGCAAAAGAGGCAGAGCAAAAGATCCCAAGCCCCATCTGCTTTATCATTACTAAAAGTCTCTCTGCACCCAAATTTTGAAGCTTTAGGGAAGTGGGGGTGGCTTATTAAAAATGTTCAATTTATGTTTTATTTGGATAACAGAAAGGTAATAATGTGCAGCATAGCAATATCTAAGAACACACGATTCTGCTTTTAAACAACATAATTATAGTGCAAATGCCCACCATTGCAACCATAGGCATACATTCCTAATCATGATTATGCCAAACTGACCAAATGTGCAACATGACATCACCACATAAGCTCCACATTTTCATAGTTGCATTACATTGTTATATGCAATTTTTATAAAAGGCAGGTTGTCTTGCAAATGTCACAATACAATACCCTGTTTAGGAAGAGTACCTGGTGGTGCTTTGGAGTGTGTGAGAAGTGCTGTGCAGATCAGCGATAGCACCTGGGGATGCAAATTGGAAATGGTATGTGCAGGTGCCCAAGAGGTGCCACATGGGTCAAGAAAGATGTGGGAGGGATGCGTGAATGGGGGTACAAAAGAGGTGCCTTGCAGATCAGAAAAGGCACAAGACTTCTATGTGACACTGTTCAAAGAGGGGTTTGAAGTGTGGATCTGGAAAGGCATGTGATAGGGCAGCAAAGGTCAGGGGAGCACACAGAGGATTGACATGGGCCAGGAAGGATGTGCAGAGATTACCTGCACATCCTATAGGACTACTGTAGTACAAACTTCCTTCCTTCCCTCCCTCCCTCCCTTCCATTGCCTTCCCTCTCTTTCCTTCCATTCCCTTTCTAACAGGCAGATAAGTGATTGCTTCAGTGGGGTGGGAAAGAGTGAGGGATTGCAAGACTGGCTGGGAAACTGTTATGGAATGTTGAACATGATGACCACAATAGCAGCCTGCAAGCATAGCGGGAGCCAACGGAACTGAAGCAACCACATATTTCCTAATTTCATTCTCTTGGGAGCCACAAGTCCTGGATTTTGGACACAGACCCTATGATACATGATTTCGCCCAGTTAAAGATCATGACAAGAGTTTTAGTAGTATACAGACGGTGGCAGTAAAGAGGAGGGCCCCCATTGAAAGTAGAATATATCAACATTATAGAGATGAAACAGTGAAATGCATCCTCAAATTATAATTCAACCTGAAGCTAACAGGGAAAGAGTTAGTATTTCCAGTTCTTAGGGAAGCACCATTTGGCATTATTTATTATCACCAGTAGATTATTTTCACCCTGATGTCCATTTCTCAAGTCAGTTCCAATAATTCTTACAGTGCAAACAAATTAGCACAATTAATAACTATTAATAAGAACTAGTTAATCAAAAGAAATTAATGGCATAATCTATAAAAAGAAAAAAACATTAAAGAACAAACTTGAACAGCAATAAGACAAATATTGTGTAGATTAATTGGTTGCTACTCGAGTCATACTCATTTGGAAGCATCTTGCATTATTATTTAAAATTCAAGAACAAACATTTTAGATGCATTTCCTGGTGTAATAAATTCCAGGTCTAGAGACAAGTACCAAACGAGGTCTCTCCACTAGACTTTCCAAGATGGCGGTAGACCCTCATTTGAATACAAGTAGTCCTGGGATAATGACCATTTTTTGGCAGCCATTTACATTCAGTCCCTGAAGTTATGCCTTTTGCAGTGCACCATGGTATATGATCAAAATTTGTGCACTTGGTAGCCTGCCCACAACCATAAGGGCATTTCAACTCCCTTGAAATAATGAACTTGTATCATTATCCTGGCTCTTGAATATTTGCCTTCATTCATCTCAACTCCTCCCACCCACCAATACCCCCCATCTCTGAGTTTTTGGCCACTCTGTACTCCATCACCCTAGGATTGTCAATGCTAAGAGATACAAATCACTACACAATCATGATCAATTAAGCTCTGGTGACCTTGGATCAAGCATAGATGCTCTTACACTGAATCATTTTGCAATATCATTTGGAGCATGAAAAGGGAAAGAAACACATCACCTTTTTGAACAAAGGGTGATTGCGTATTGAATTAAAGAAATAAATCCAAGGAAAAGAATGTTCTTTGGCTCACAAGTAAAAACAATATTATGTGAGCATATATATTGATCGACTGAACTTCTTGTACTATTTGGGTTCATGGTGATAACTTATCAACCACAGTCATTCCTGATTAAGAAATCATACTTGTGGTCAGCTACATGAATACCTGACACTGAAACATCTCTTTCATTATGATTGTTTCTAAGAATGGCTACCTAGCAGAATGAGTTTGCTTTAGATGATGAGGAATCAGAGGCACAATTTTCATCACTTATTCTGCTATATTTTTTTGGCTGCTATAAAACACGTATCTACCAAGTTCCTTGATAGGCATCCAAGCTGGAAAGCAATTGCCACATCAGCTTTTTGGAGACTGAGAACTGGAAAGTAGTATCATTACATACATAATACTCATCAGAACTTTAGGAAAAATTTGGTGGTACTCCTTTACCAGAAAAACTTTTTTAAGCAGAATGGAGTCTCTCTAAATCTACTGTAGAATAAGGTGACCAGACGTCCTGATTTTGGCAGGACAGTCACGATTTCGCACAATTTGTCCCGCGTCCCACAGTGTTCTTAAAAAGTCCCGATTTTTGTGACCGGACCCAGAAGTAAGCCTGCCCCACCCCCAGCCCTGTATACCCGTCCCGGCCGGATGGTATTTTGTCCCCTCTGTCTCCCTGTTGCTCAGAAAAGCAACTCCGGGAAGGTCCTTTCTAGCAGGCAGGTTCTAGGACGCCTGCCACCACCAAAGGACCTTCCCGGAGTTGCTTTTCTGAGCAATGGGGAGACAGAAGGGACGCAAACTCCTTTCATTCTCCCTCTGCCTCATTCACTCGTTCGGGCAGCAGAGAACGAAAGAAAATCGCATAGCCGAGGACAAAGGAGCCTGCAGCCTCCTTCATTCAAATGTTCAGGCAGCGGGGATGGGGGGGGGGCTTTCTTGCATGCCTTCTTTCTCTGAAGCCACGCTGGATTCAGCAAACCGGGCAGCGCGTGCCCTTGGGATTGTGCAGCAGCCGAAGATCGCTTGGTTAAAAAGATCGCCTGGTTAAAAAGGAGGAAGAGGAGGCTCCACTAGTCCGGAGCCCATCCGCGGTGGCAGGGATCCCCCCCACACATACACACACAGGGAGGGAGGAGAGACAGAGAGAGACAGAGAGAGAGACAGACACACACAGAGAATGACAGAGAGACAGAGAGAGGGAGGGAGGGAGATAGAG